GGTGTGCTAGGGATGGATTGGTTAGCATTGCTTGCTTTAAGCTACCTCTTTATATACGTGGTGGCAGACATCTTAGGATAAAGTTTCACAACTCTTTGCCTTGGCTCGGCCCTGCCTCAAACCCCGATCTCCTTCCTCATCTAAGCTAACCCATTTTGCTCCAGTGCTGCTACACTCTAACGGATTTCTGAGTCCTTATTCATTTTTTACTGTAAAACCGAATGAGGCTTCACTGTTTTGGTTAGAATTAATTTTTACCCAATTTTTTATTCACATTTATCTGCTGCTATTTTAAAGGACTTGTTAAATGCATTAACCCACCAAACCTTAAAACTTAAACATTCCTTAGAGGCTCTTTCAACAGGCTCATAGATCCCATTTTCCTCCTTTTCCCCCTTTTATTAGCTTTTCATCTACATCCTCATCTTCCAGTATGCAATTGTTTGGATATATGTTAGATACAATAACACTGTAATGGAAATTATCATCCAATAAAGGTACCAACATGTTTAACCAATGGTCATCTGTGGCAATTTATACAGTGAACGAAGAGCCAGTTCCAGATCCCTTTTGGTTAAGAAGAAACAGACAATTTCCTTTGGTTGGTCAATAGTAACTGCTGATAACCATAGTCTAAATTACTAAGTTGGTGAAAGAGAATGGGATTTTAACAGCCAGTCCAAGAGTCCAACCTTTTATGTAAAAGGCTAAGAGCCCTGATGAGTAAGCGAATTATAATCATTCAACTAATAATCTTTAATTGGTTTTACACTTGATTGATTGATCAGTCGATCCATTAAAAACGTCATTCTGGTTGTGCTATAAAATACTGTATCGCATTTCATGTGTGACTCATTTGTGACGCATTTGCTCAAAGCAAAAAATGGCAACCCATGGCACTATTCATTCATAAAATAAAAATTCAAACTGTTTAAATGGATAAGTCAAAATTGTAATAGCCTATGTGTGACATTGTGTTGCAATATTTGTTGACTAAATTTATAAATTTTACTAATAATCAAGCATGACCAACTGCATTACTTATTCCCTGGAAAAAAAATATTTTAAACTATAAAAGTATGAAAACTTGCATGAGAAGAAAATCAGGACTAGAGGTGCTTTGTCCTGAACCAAACAAAGTTCCAGTATGGCCAGGATGCTCTGATTATGAAATATTTTATGTCTGTTCTCTGTCTGTCTGCTGCAGCTGCATGCATCTCGCCAACCCTCCCACTTCATTAAAACTGACAAACATCTGTAAACAGCTGAACCAAAGATGTTATGACTACAAACAATGTAGCTATGTGTTATGCATGCCGGATGCACATTGCATGAAAAGGCAAGAATTTTCAGGAGATGGGAGGCTTAAATCCCAAACCTCCCTCCTTTTTAGCAAACTTTGGTGGCAGAAGTCCCATAATGTGTTTAGCAGAGCAACTCTGTTAAGTATTGTGGTTAATTTAACATCAATAAAGGTCAAAGTTTTTGCAAACATTGACGTTATCTGTCTGTTTGCTGCTGCTGGTTAAGCAGTTAAGCCTAGTGACGATGACCGCTCTGCCCTCCCACCCCCCCTCGGACAAGATGCTCGCAGTGAAGGGGAAGGTGCCTCTTCGCCCTTAGCCAAAGATTTCAGTACAACATTTGATGACAACATCAACTATGCTAGGTGGACTTGGGCCATTTTTATTGTTGGACCTCATAAATTATGTCAGGGCTCAACAGTAGTGGGTTAAAAGTATATATCACTCTTAATGTGTTATAAATGAATCTTTTATAATAAATATTATTATGTTAGATATATTTCATTGAATAATTTGAATGATGAATTCCAATCATTATATGATATACGTATATATATATATATATATATATATATATACATA